CGTGAGCAGTGGGTACCAGATCTGGGGTGGTGGGCTGGGTTGATGCCGACACGGGGGTGGTTTCAGGGAAGTCACACGCCGGTGAAGATACGGGTGGGGTGGGAGACGTGGTGTTGGACGGTATGGGAAATGGGAACACGTTTTCATCGAAGGAAATATCACGAGTGTGAAAGAAATGATGTGTTTCCAAATTATAGACCCGCCATCCCTTTGTACCAAACGGATACCCAACAAACATACACCGAAGACTCCGGGGAGCAAATTTATTCGGAAGTTTTTGACGAACATAGCAAAGGCACCCAAATACCCGAAGATGATTAAGATCACAAGGTTTAGACGAAAGAATTTCAAGAGGAGACTTACCACCCAAGAGAGGCGTGGGAAGACGATTAATAAGATACACTGCTGTTTTGACACACTCTCCCCAGAACTCAAGTGGTAGAGACGCTTGGAACATGAGGGCACGCGCCACGTTGAGGATGTGACGGTGTTTCCTTTCAACCCGGCCATTCTGCTGGGGGGTACCTACACAAGAAGTTTGTATCTGGACACCCATATGATCATAATATTCAAGAAGTGGTTTATTAAGGAACTCAGTACCATTATCTGAACGAACAATTTTTATGGTTTTCCCGTACTGAGTAGCAATCATAGCGAAGAAACGCTTCAAACAAGAGGTAACCTCACTTTTAACTTTAATAAGATAAACCCACACAGCCCGAGAATGATCATCAACGATAGTTAAAAAGTAATGAGCACCCGTAGCTAAACAAGCAGAATAAGGTCCCCAAAGATCACAATGAATTAAATCAAACACAGAATTGGCTTTATTAAAACTTGTAGGAAACGGAGAACGAGTCTGTTTGGACATAAAACAAATATCACATGTTTGCAACTTCTTTAATTGAGAAGTTCTATTATTGGGACTGATAAACGACATAACTTTGGGTGAAGGATGACCCAAACGCTGATGTAAAAGAGATGGATCAACGGTGGAAGCATGAACTTGAGGCACACGACCGCAAAACACGTATACTCCGTTACGCAATTCACCCCGTCCAATCTCCATTTTCGACAAACGGTCCTGTATTACACAAAAAAGTTCATTAAAAATTACATGACAAATATTATCACGGACAAGACAACCCACTGAGATTAAATGGCAATGAAGATTTGGTACTAGCAAAACACCCGATAACACCATTTTAGAAGAGAGCCGTACACTCCCTTGTTGATGAGGCAAGGTAATTCCACAGGGGGGAATATTAACAAGATCAAATAAGTGAGTTTTATCACTGGTCATGTGATGAGACGCTCCACTATCAATTAACCATTCACTAACACACGAATTCATACCATTGTACTGTTGAGACGAGGAAGACTCGAGCAAGGACATTAACCGTGCCATTTGTTCACTGAGCGGACCCGAAGGTTCTGTATTTGCGGCGTATGCACCTGCTGAGTGGCTGGACCCTACCCCCGGGGTACTGCCGCTGGACACACTGCCTGGGCAGGCTGCTCCTGTTTTCTGGGTATCGCCGTAGGGGTTACTGCCAGTACGGACAGTCCCTCGGCCACCATCACGACCAGAGGAGGGAGTCCCCCGGCCACCTCCACGACCACCTCTACCACGCTGCACGGCACCTCGGCCTCCACCGCGACTATATTGTTTTGGAAACCCGATTATCTCAAAGCAGGTCTCCACGGTATGGTTGGTACAACCGCAATGTGAGCAAGTTAAATTACTTTGTCCACGCCGGGCAGCAAACGCCACACCATCGGTTCTATCATCTCGTGAACGAATGATAGTCCGGTGACGCTCCTCTTGAGTAATAAGATAGAACGCCCGGTCTAAATCAGGGATCGGCTCACTACCAATAATTTGTGAACGAGCATGCCCGTACTGTTCATCATCAAGACCCAAGAGAAAATCCATGGTTTTCTCACGTTCAATACGATCCCGAGCAAGGGCAGCAGCGGGACACACACAACCTCCAGTCGGGTCTTCACCTCCGTTGAGTTGATTCCAGAGAGTGATAAACTGGTTGTAATAAGCTACCACAGTTTGGCCCTTTTGACGTAAACCATGCAACTCGCACTTTAATTGATACAACCGAGGACCATTAGATCCACCATAGCGTTTTTTAAGATCATCCCACAAATCTTAGGCAATTGTATGATTAATTATACTCCGTTGTATAGACTCATCCACGCTATTACAAATCCAACTACAGATAATGGAGTGATTTGACTCCCACGCAGCAAGTTCGGCTTCATCTTTGGGTTTAGGCACTCCCGTAGATGTCAAAAATTGAGCTTTACCACGGCCACTAAGAGCATGGCGAATTGCTTTCTCCCAAACATCATAGTTATCACTACGAAGCACATATTTTGTTAATGAATTACCCGGACCTTCAGACGGATGCAAGTAGTAGATTGTAGACGAATCATGTATCAATTTTGCCTTCTTGGTCGCCATGAAGAACAAACTGGACGGACTGCTGCACTACCTGGGGCTGGACGGTTCACCACGGCGGGGGCGGAACTGGACTGACGAACGGCGACCAGACTTGGACGCACTGAAACGGACAACTTCGACGGACCGACAGCGTCGGCGACCAAAAACCCTAAGCGTTGCGGAAACGAAACCCTAGGATTGCTCTGATACCATGTAGAACTTAGGAAAATACTTTGTTGATTGATAAATTACCACAACAAGGTATATATACAAGGTGTACAGCTACGGGCCCAACGGGCCAACTAATTACAAAATTAACAAATAATACACAGGAATACCCAATATGTAAAATGCATTGATAAAGTAATGCATTATTATGTCCTGGAAATGCATTGATAAAGTAATGCATTATTATGTTCTGGAAATGCATTGATATGTAAAATGCATCAGTTAGAAGTGTGCATCGAAAAAAACATGACTAGCACGCCGTTTTTGTCAAATGACGAATTGTATTGAGTTCTGTACCACACTGTCTTATAATAGGAATTCATAATTGTTTGATGTAAATCCATGAATATGAAAATTTGTATAACATAATTGCATAACATTTAAACTTTGGATACAACAAATGAAAGGATATTTTAATAATACCACCCTTAACAAATTAGACCACGAATTTATAGAATACTTGTTTGTGAGTGAAATTCCACCAAATATTTCTTGGGGAAACGCCAAAAATTCTAAGCAGTGTGAATAAAATGATATAAGGTAGACACACATGGAGTATCGACGGAAGAATTAAACATCGATCCATCCCTAATTATGTATCCCGATAATGGAAGCTGCACCGGCACATGGAGCGGAAGGTGCGCAAGAACGTGTGCTTATTTTACGGAGAAGACGATGGAACGATAATGCTCAGGTATACGAAATTTCTATATTACCCTTAGCAGATGCTGTGGATCCAATGGTTAATATTCATTCTTATTTCTTTAATTAGATTTTATTCTTATTTGAATATATATATATATATATATATATATATATGGGATGGAAAAATTAATTTTCAACCTTTTCCAATTCTTTTAGATCTTTCCAACCTCTTTCACTTTATTCCAATAACAATTTATAAAAATCATATGATGAATATACAATAACATGATATATCCAAGTTTATAAAATATCACCTCAAACCCGGGCAAATTTTTTTTGTTTGATCAAAGATTAGTTTTTTTTTAACATATTTATTAGGATGTTCATTTAATTGAAAGATTTATTAACGTTCTACTTCGTATTTTTCTAATTTTTTTAAATTCTTTCCATTTTATTTTAAAAATTGGCAGAGAAATAAAAATAAAAAATTACACGGTTCAAAAATGTACCAAAAAGTTTATAAAAAAAGATGCAATAAAAATATTTTATTTTATCAATTGTCAACTAAAACAATTAAACTAACAAAAATTATCAAAAAGTCAAACAATAGATGTTGCATTCTTTTTGGGACAGACGAAATATCTTATATTTGGAGGGGTTACTATCCAACTAGTAACTGGGAGGTTTGTGATGGGATGATATCCCTTAGGCCTAATTAAAATATTGGGCTAGTCCACGAGAGAAGCCCGCCAAGGAGATCTAACCCTAGGTTCCCATTATGATACTATATAAGGGGCACAGAGCTAAGAAGAAAGGGGAGCCCTCCTCGAGATTCTACACCTATTATACTCCCCCCGTTTGTCTTCTCCTTGTCGATGGAGTTCGAGCTCCATCAATGACGATCACGCCAATATGCTGTACAAATATATCTCCAAAATATAATAAAGTATCTCCGTTGGCATGGTACCACCCAAAAAGGCCATTGGTTTTCACCGATTTGGTTTCCACGTCAAAATCTATTGTCTATGTTCTTGTTTATATATTTCTTATATTTTATGCATATATTGTATAGACCAAAAAATGCATACCCGGGGGTTTTTGTCTATCACACGGGTAAAAATATTTTTTGTTTTATCCAAAATTAGTTTTTTTACATATTTATTAGGATGTTCATTTAATTGAAAGAATTTTTAACATTCTACTCCGTATTTTCTAACATTTTTAAATTCTTTCCATTTTATTTTACAAATTGGTAGAGAAATAAAAAATAAAAATTATACCGTTAAAAAATACATCAAACGATTTGCAAAACATGATGCAATAAAAATACTTTATTTGTTTAAATTGTCAAACAAAATGAATAACCAAATTAAAATTATCAAAAAATCAAATAATAGATGTTGCATTCTCTTTGGGAGGGATGAAATAACTTATATTTATATTTAGAGGGGTTACTATCCAACTACTACAAGTTGACACCGTTTCTTGTAATATGGTGGGGGGAGTATAATTTGCCTGCGCAAGAGTGCGAGACACTACCCAAATTTTTTAAATGGGACAAGACATTTTTAACCAGCTTAGTTGTCAAAAAGAGTAAAAACTTCAACTACCATATTTCAAGAATTTAAGATGGAGATAGAGATTTATTGCAAAAACGCAAAGCTCCACAATTACCACCTTCATCAATTTCAATGCAAAAAATGGAGGAATTTTTCCTCAGACCTAAAGAACAGTAGATCTTGCAAGACAAAAAAACTCCATCCACAGACCACACACAGTTCACTCTTCCCAAATTCCAAACCAACCCTAAAAAAACAAATTTTGATTCGAGTTTTTGTACCATTTTCTGCATTATCTTACCCAAGGGGAAAGGGGGGAGAAAATTCTCTCCTTTCTCTTCACTGTGCAAAGAGAAAAGAAAAGGAGAAGACAGCTATGGAGAGTCTCTCACCAATCAAGAAAGGCCATAGATAAAGATTAGGAGAAAAGCACACATTTCCGTTGCTGCAAAAACTTTGTTCTTCACCATGGGTAAGACGGAGGATGAAGAGCCCTTACCCATGGCTGCAGGGGGTGAGCTGACCCCACACCTTCGAATGGGAAGCAGAAGATGCTGCTGGAGAATCAATGGGTGGGTGAGTTACAGATGCGTTTTTGCTCTGATATTTGGCGCGGCTGTGCTGCTCTCTGCTGTTTTCTCGCTCCCAATCTTCAACTCTGGAGATCCGAAGGATCTAGATCTGGATGATAGGTTTGCAGGTATTTCTCTTGTTTGTTTGTTTTTTCTTCAATTGCTGCATTTTGGAAGCTCAGATAGATCTCTCAGTGAAAATTTAGTTTCTACTCTTAATTTTGTCAACTGGTTATTTGATTATTGTTTAAATTTGTGCATTTTTGTATTATGTGTGGTTAATTTGCTGCTTGATTTTTTCAGTATGTTTTTATACGAATCAGTTCATTTTTAGCTTTGTTTAGTTCTGCTTTTGCTGAAATTTTTTGATTATTTGGTGCTATTATTGTTAATGATTTTTTTAATTTTTAAAATAAACCATTTGGTTTGTTCTTTGGGGAATGAATTTTCAATTATTATTGATTTAATTTTCTTTGTTCTTGTGTTAAACTGTGATTTTTTATTTGAAATCTAGCCATGGACAGGGAACAGACACACATAAAGGACCAAGTGTGGCTCTGTTTAATTCAAATCTAGCTACCTGTTATTGACAACTTATTAGGGAAATGGTCCAAAAAAAGATAAAAAGGTTTTACCTAAAACTGGGAAAAAAGATACATCCAATCTGGTTTTCTGTGCATTACCCATTATGGGGTATCCCTTTGTGCCAATAGATGGAGTCTTGAAATTGATGCATGTGCTTAAACAACACAATTACATATTCTACTCAAGTTTTTTTTTTGGTTTGATTTTCCAGGGTATGAGATAGTAGCAAGCTTTATGCTCAAGAGACCCGTTTCACTCTTGGAGCAGTACATTTTGCAACTTGAAAATGAAATTTTGGATGAAATAAGTGTTTCCAACACCAAAGTATGTATTTCCTTACAACTATTCTCTTGTCTTGTTGTTCTTAGTCGCGCCTCTATTTCTATTTTTCCAATAATAACAACAATGATCTCAAGATGTCTTATAAATAAATTTACAGGTGAACATACTCTCTTTAGAAACCCCAGCCTTATTATCATCAAACAAAACAAAGGTTTTTTTTGCTGTTGATTCTAGTGTCAAAACTGTGGGCATCTCCCCAACAGCCAAGACCATAATACACGACAATTTTGAATCAATACTCGTTCATCAGTCCTCTTTGCACTTGACCACGGCTTCTCTATTTGGGACCCCATTCTCATTTGAGGTTCTTAAATTCAAAGGGGGGATCACCGTCAGCCCTTCGCAACAGAAAGCCTTCCTCTTGCAGAAAGTTCTCATCAGTTTCCACTTCACCTTGAACTTTTCCATTGAAGAAATACAAGTTTATTTTGATCAACTCACCCAACAACTTAAGTGGGGCTTACACCTTTCTCCATACGAGGTTTGTTGATATATGAATTTTGGTTAGCTTTTAATTGTAGTTTCTTTTTTCTATAAGAATTTTCGATGAATAGTTCTTCACAGATTACATGCTTAATTAATAAACATTTTATTTATGATAATCAAAAAATTAAAAACGAATCTATAGACGAGTATGATGAGTTAGATGACCCATTCTTTCGTGTCCTTAGATCCTTAAAACTCTTTGTGCTTATAAGCTTCTCAAAATTGCTTATAAGTTATTTTTAACTTAAGTCAATTGATGACACGTTTCTCTGTGCTTATAAGCTGACTTATAAGCCGCTTATAAGCTTGTAGAAATAAGTAGGTCTTACCTACTTATTTTTAAGTCAGTTTTTCCAAAAAACCATTTTGACCAGAGTATTTACAAAATTATTCCTCACCATTTATGAATATTCCAAAATGGCTTATCTATCTTTAAATTATTTTACATTGCTGATAAACAATATTTAACTTATAAGCAGCTTATAAGTTAAAAATTGTTTATCAGCAGTAAGTCAATAAGCACCAAGTCAATAAGCACCAACATAGAATCACCCACATGGAGTAATTAGCAACGGCCTGTTGATGATGATGCATGATGTTACTCTAATCTCATACTTTTTGCAGAACTTGTATATCAGCTTGGTTAACGTAAGGGGTTCAACGGTGGACCCACCCACGATTGTAAGGTCGCGAGTTGTTTTGGTAGTCGGGATACCCTCGAGGTCGAGGGAGAAGCAGTTAGCCCAAGCCATTACCGGTTCTCATGCAAAAAATCTTGGCCTGAATAACACTGTGTTTGGTAGAGTCAAACAGGTCACCCTCTCTTCCACTACCAGTGTCAATAGTGGCACCCCATCACCTTCTCCAGCCCCCGTGCCTCATAACCTCCACCCCTACCACCGCCATCACCATCACCATCACCGTCACCACCATCACCGCCACCACAACCCCCACCACCACCACCACCACTACCACCACTATCACCAAGATTCCAGTCCTGCTCCTTCAATTGTACCATCTCCAACGCAGAGAAAAAGTGTGCGTGTGAATCGGAAGCCCTCACCAACACCTATGCCGGTTCTTGAACCTGCACATAGGCCCACTCCACGTAAGATTGGCCCAACAAGTCATATGCAGGCTGCTGCACCTCCTACCAATTTGGAACCGAATAAAATTGCTCCATCAGCAGCACCCAGTCTGCATGAAGATCCTCCTCCCACATCAAACCCACTGCCACATGTAGTTTATTCTCTTGTTCCTCCCCCACTATCGTCATCAAGTCATAGTGTTTCTGATGCAGAACCTCCTGACAAGGCACAATATATCTCGTATTTCTCGTCATCAGGTTAGGAAACTTGACTTCCTATCCTGCATCTTGTAAACAATTTTTATTTATATGATTCCTATTATCTTTATGGTTTAAGCAAAATATAATTAATCATGTGCATTTCTTATTCCAGCATCCACAGGTAGCCTTAATTCGTCATACCTATGGGCTCTCCTTTTCTTTCTAATAGCTCTACATGCATAGCAAGATAACAAGATGCAGATAGAGTTCCACAAGAAACTAGCCCACCCTGCAATTGTAAAAAAAAAAAAGAGCAGCTTCCACGAATTATTTCCTCAGCAAAGATGGAGGAAGATGAAGGCTAAGAGGACGGCGTGTTTGTACATGTCTTTGTGTGTGTGTGTAAATAGTAATGATAAATTCAGCAGTAAGATGCATTTTCAGGTCAAAGTCGCAGAGGACAGGCCAGAGAGAATGTGTTCTTGCTGTAATGTATGACTATGATCTCCTGCGTAACATGGCAGAGTGAAAAATTGAATCAAGCAAATGTACAAACCAACCATTTTTGTTCCCAATGTCTTTCCTGTCTTTGGCCTTAATTTTCAGCACAGAAATTGGTGAACTTGATCTATGAATCCATGAGTTGCCCTTAAATTATTTGTTTGTTATCTGTACAGAACAGCATATGTATGGGAGAGAATTGTTTGTTTAGTTGTGAATTTTCGAGGAGGTGGGAAGACTAAGAATAATGGGAATCACTGGTCTGCAACATTTGAACATGTTCTTTTGGAGGGTGAGTGGAGTTTTATGTGAATGTTGATGACTTATGAGGACAAATTGGGAAGCTATCTTCCATACAAAATAAATATTGCATGGTTTGCACTTTGTGACAAACTAGAAAAAAGGGACAGGAAAATTCAAATAAGCAGCACATTTAAGAAAAGTTGAATGGGACTCGGAATGAGTTTTTTGGGTAAGTTTTATGAATGATATACGGATTTTAAACATTATTTTATTTCGGCATACAAACGTTCAAACTTCTTTCGCACACGGGTTCGGGCCAGTCCGTAGTGCTCTATATCCGTACTTAGAAATTTTGATTTTGACCCGTATTCATTTACTCGATGGGTTTAAAGCTTTAAACTGTACTAGATTTGGACCCATTGGTCTCGGCATTGGGTTGGGTGTACTTGTGATAAAAGTTGATATCTTTTATGTTTGTATATAATTAATAAAAAGTTAGGGAAAATACTACAATGAAAAGCATCTTAATTGAAAAAAACAAAAAGGCTAATATGTTAATAAAAAGTGAAAGTATCCTTCAAAACAAAGACTAACTTGTTACTAACAAGTCACAATATTCACCGACTAGGGTCTTGCTTATAACTCCATAACTTATTAATATATAATACTCCCTCCGTTCCAATTTATATTGCCTATTTCAGTTTACGATATGACTGAAATTATTTTCAAATTATTTTATATGATAAATGATATAGAGTTAAAAAATAAAATTTACATATTCAAATACTACATCAAAAGATTTACAAAACTAGTGGTGACAATAGTACTTTAATTTATCAAATTGCTAACGAAAATAAAGAAAGAAAGTGAATGAAGTTTGACCCTATGAATAGTGAACGTGCATTATAATTTGGGACGGAGGGAGTAGATTAATAAGAGTAATAAAAGGTAAAAAATAGATACAGGAGTACATCACATATTGAAGAGGCTTTTACTTCTATTTTATACCTACTCTTATGTATTAATTGCCCTAAATTCAATAATTTTACGATCAGAGCACCGTAGTCGTTCCAATTGAACTAGTGTCACAATGTTACACTAATTAGAGTGATGTAACATTATAATCTTCATATATATAGAATAATTTTATTTTTCTTTCTTGGAAATATGAGTGTATGATGTCATATTTTTTTAAAATTTTTTTGATATTATATTTAAATAGGAGTATATAAATTTAACTTTAAATTTAAAATGCCATCTTAGTTACTAATTGAGTATTACTCCGTATTTTTTTTTATGGGAGGGGTAGTGTGAAATATGCCAATATGGATGGAATCATGGTATTGATATTTTTGGGTCTGTTTGGGAAAAGCGTTAGCGGTTAGTGTTTGAAAATGCTATCTACGAGCAGCGTTAGCGTTTTCAAAGTAATCTACACCGTTAAAATTTTATCCAAAACGCTAACGCTAATCTCTAACTTTATTCCGAAACAAGCCCTTTATCTCTATTAGAAAAAGACAAAAGACAAGCCTTTCATCACGTTCCCTCTGCTTTTCTTTTCTTTGGACTGTTACAGTATTACTTTTACTTCAATCCCATAATTGCCCAGATTATGATTCTTTGTTCCTTTCTTCTCCCCATTCTTGCATTATTCTCACATACTCTTACTTCTCAGCTTCTTGCCGTTACCCGATAAGCTTCCCCAATTCCTCAGTGTAGCAAAGGGCAATCAAGAAAAGCAGGTATCTTTTTCACTTCAATCTGGGCTTGCTAAAAATCTCTTCTTTTTTTTCCTTCTTTTGTGGTCAAAATTCGAAATTCGTGCCCCTCTCTCAATGATTAGATCTTCCTTTAGTCATTAGTATGCGATTCGGATTTTTTTATATTTTCATACCCACTATTGATTTGTATAACAGTAGCGCGTGAGAATAGCTTGTACGTCTTTGATCTTACAGGACATGGTGAATATGAGGTTATTGTCCGGAAAAAAGTCACTTAAGTCAGTTAGGTTGAGCTTCAGGATACCATATTACACTCAATGGGGACAGCATCTGCTAGTGTGTGGTACAGAAGCATTGCTTGGTTCTTGGGATGTGAAAAAGGGTCTGTTGTTAAGGCCTTCTCATCACGGCGATGAGCTCATATGGTCTGGAGTCATTTCCGTTCCTCCCGGATTCACAACCGACTACAATTATTACGTGGTGGATGATGAGAAAAATGTGGTGAGATGGGAGGCTGGGAGGAGGAGGAAACTACTTCTGCCGCCTGATCTGATCCAGGATGGTCTTTTGGTTGAGCTTCATGATCTTTGGCAGGTTTAGCTTCTGTTTTTTTTTGGGGGGGGGGGGTGATTTTTTTAAAGTTTGAACATGCTATTGTATTAAGCCATCATACATTGGCCATATATAAAGAAATGCAACCCCCACATATAAAGCATGCTCCTCTTATCCATTTAAACTTTAAGTATGGAACCTAAGTACCACAACGTCACTTTGAAGCTTGACAATAATGCTTAGTTATATCCTAGAGTTGGTCCAAGATTAGTATGTTGTATTCATTCTTTATTATTTGCTTCTAAAAGCGATTATTTTGCTTAATTTTTTAATTTCAGACTGGTTCTGATGATATTCCTTTCAAGAGTGCATTTAAAGATGTCATCTTCCGCAGAAGTTGGAGTTTAGATGTTGAAATGCCCCTTGGGGCCATTCAGAGCAAAGTTGATGGGGAAGGTAAAAACTTTCTCAGGTCAAGATTAGTTTTTTCCTCTCTGTGTTATGTGCAGTTTTCCAATCAATTGTTTGCTTGAACAGAGTCAGTCATCATACAGTTCAAGATATGCTGCCCACAATTAGATGAAGGGACATCTGTAAGATAGAAATCTGCTTCTGGAAAACTATGATGCTGATATAAGCTATCAGTTTTGACGAAGACTCAAGACACAACATTTGCAGGTTTATGTGATTGGTAGCTCTTTAAAGCTGGGTCAATGGAAGGTTCAATATGGAGTGAAGCTCAATTACTCGGGTGACTCATTTTGGCAAGCAGACTGTGTGATGGGAAAAGATGACTTTCCTTTGAAATATCCTTTAGGTGCCTTCATGATAAGCATGCATGCTCTCATTGGGCCTTAATTTAGCAATTCCTATTACTACATTATTTCTCACCAATCAATCTTCCTTAATGATTTTTACATACAAGTACTGCAAATATGGGAAGGGTGGAGCACTATCTTTGGAACATGGTGCTAATCGGGAGCTTTCTCTTGACTTCACTAATAGTAGTCAACCAAAATATGTGATCCTTTCAGATGGAATGATGCGGGTAATCCCTTAACAATACATGTCTTTTAATCTCTTGGATCTCCCCATGTTAGAGTGTTAGATCTTAATTTGGCCCTAACTCATCCCTTGAGTCCCTTGACATCGGCATAATGTTGACAGTAGCAGGATTTTTTTATATACCATTTTAGATTAGCCCTAATGCTTATGCACAATGAACTACACTCCAAAAATCCTCTACAAATGAGGTTTATCTAACACTTAAGCAATACACTCAGACCCAGTGGAAGACGAATGTGTGATCCTAAACAGTAAATGATTAAGTATGAAACTGAAAAGGGGCATGATTTTCTATGTTAAAAGGAATTTCCTTGGCGAGGCACGGGTGTTGCAATCCCGATGTTCTCTGTGAGATCTGAAGCTGATTTAGGAGTTGGGGAGTTTCTTGACCTCAAGTTGCTTGTTGATTGGGCTGTTGAGTCTGGCTTTCACTTGGTTCAACTTTTGCCAATCAATGATACGTCAGTGCACAGGATGTGGTGGGATTCATACCCATACAGGTATCTCTTCTCTTCTGAGGTTTTACTATTAGCATTATCCCATATGGAAAGCAAATTTACAAAATCTTTCACAAGATTGTTGGATTGGATTTTCTGTGCATACCTACTTACCAAAGAGACATGCAACCTAGGCTGTTTCGAAGTTTACACGAGGGCTATATGATGACATATTGACATTTTCTCCTTGTTTCCCCCCCCCCCCCCCCCCCC